TATTTTGAAGTAAACATTTTTTAAAGTTGGATCCTACCAAATATTCACAGATGGGATTTTCATGTCAGTATGGGTCTTAACAGTCTTTGGCATTTCTACTAAAGAAAACGTGTCTAATATTTATTCTGCCTTTAGATGTCTTAACAAATACGTCTGTAGCACGTCTTTAATTGATGTCTAAACAATGTCCAGAAAAGACGTATAAAAAAACTTTCATTCTGGCTCCTGTGAGGACGTCTTCTGGATGTCTAACAATTACGTCTTTTAGACGTATTCTAGACGACTTCTTGCTCGCTGGGACGTGTCGTTGAACCACTAAAATCCTTCCCGAGTTAAATGTGGGCCGACACCGTAATCCTGGTAGCTGCATGGCTGCACAAACAGAAATGTCTGCTGTCTGTCACCTCTGGATCTAAAGCCATCCTGCCGGGCCGCCTGCAGGTACCCGTTAACCTTTAGTCTATGTTCCCAGGAAGACTCGAACTGCGACGGAGAAAAGGTCTGTTTCACTGGGTTTTCCTACAAAGTGCTGTGGCGCTTTTTATGTTGTGGAAAACGGAATTAAAGGCTTGAAGCGCTCGGTGCCTCTCGTTCATTCTCCCAGTCACAGTGATTTGAGAACAAGTAGTTAATGTTACAGTAACAGCTGCAATTTCACAAGAAATAAAGTTGTCATGTTGATTTTTTAATAATAAGACAATCATTTTAAGATAAAAGTTTATATAAAGTCACAGTGGACAGGTTCTTTTAAGTTAGAAATGATTTTGAGTCATCAGAAGAAAAATATTGTTGTCATGATTTCACCAGAAATACAATATATATATAATATGATGCAAATAAAGTTGTGGAGCACAGAGAGCAGAGCTCAGCTGAAGAGAAAAGCTGCTGACCCCATTTTGGTTTCAGGGGGTTCTCACACCTGCAGTTCGGTTCATCTGGTCCGGATCCCCTGTTGCATGTTAGTTCTGGTCCGCTTCATGTTCACACTGCAGGTTTCCAAACGAACCAGAGGAGTAACCATGACGTCACACAGACTGACAGGTAGCTTGCTGATTGGACAGCTTTGGTGATGGTCATCCTGCATCATCAGGACCCGCGTGGGGAAACCAAACTCTGGTGAGGGTTTCTGCAGCTCTTTAAAGCCCCCCTTCAGTGGATTTGACACATTTCTATGATATTTCATAGTTTTCCTACACATTTCCTGACGATGCTGATCAACATCTCACTGCTGGCTGTCCATGAAGCAGCACACTCCAGGACTCTATCAGGCCAGGAGGGCAGCTTTTCCGTCTGAGATGGATCAGCTCCTAACAGACTGGATGAAGAGGTGACTTGACTTTATAGAGCTCCACAAATCCTTTTCTTAAATAAACAATGGATCTGATGTGAGGTGATGCTTGTAGTGAATAATCGAGCTGTACACCACCTAAGGGACAAACCAAGACGGTAGCTCAGGTGAAATGAAGGTGCAGACTGCAGCCTTGAAGCTCCTTCCCTTGTATCTCTGTGACAGTCAAGAGAAGCTGTTCTGCAGTGAGTGGTCGATAAATATATCTTTTATATAACATGAGAAGGGCAGCTGGTCATCACTCATGAAGTTTCTCTCCACCTGGTTGGCGTGACTGTTGAGGAGTCGACTCGGTGTAGTTTCTCTCTTTCACCTGTTTTGCAGCAGCCGTTGTTGTTCGGACCTTCGGAGGGGACGTCGGCGTGTTTATGGTCATTTGCATAGTAATTAGAGGGAGGAGCCATGTTGTTTGTGATGTATAAAGGAAAGATGGAAGCTGTGCAGTCTGTTATACACGAGGCCCCTGGTTTCTGTCTCTGAACATAAAAACACGTCTCACGTAATGAACTTAGTGACTCGGGTGTTTTACTACTGAGAGAGACGAGTGAGCGTTTCCTCCTCTTTCCTGTCTGTGAAAGGTTCCTCTCTGCAGCTCTCAGCTGGTTTCAGCCTCCGCTGGAGACAAACCAACAATTAAAAGACGCGTTGATGCTCAGATCGCTGATCCCTGAATAGTTTCACCCCGCAGTAAACGCTGCGGTGCGTTCACTGTCTGTCGGCAGTTTGAGGCTTCGATCGGAGGTGGTTGTTGAATACAGAAGAAAACGTCAGGATGTCTCTCCTGAAATAAAGAGCGAGTCTGCTGCATCCAGTCGTCTCTTCCTCTTTTCCTTTGAGTTGTTTTTTACACTTTGAGTTGTTTTTTACACTAAAGACTCTCTATGGCCTCAACATGAGTTCCTCTGAAGACTGTGTGTGTACAGAACTGGGCAGAAGTTTTAGGCCGGGGTGGAAAAATACTGGAAAGAAAGAAAGCTTTCAAACATGTTGACATGTTAATAGATTCTATTTATCAGTAAACAAAATGCAAAGTGAGTGAACAGAAGACAAATCAGATCAGTTTCTGGGGGGCTCTATCTGAAGCAGATCACATGAAGACACGGTTCCCCCGAGTCTCGACTCCACTGGACCCCTCCTGCCTACCTGCCACCGGCTGTCTGTGTTGGGAAACACGGCTGATTTTGGCGTTAGAGGTACAAACTGCGAGCTTTATCTCTTCTTCCCTTACCGTGAGGAACCTGTTTTGACGTGTGGTTGTGATAAACTTCTACGCTGACGACACATTTCAGTGTGTGCGTGGTGTGAACCGCCGAGCTGTGACAGTTTAAACTATTACATTTGTTCGGCGTGCCAGCCAGGTCTCTCTCATCGCAGTAAGATTATATGATTTGTTTGGCGGGTTGTTTCAAAGTTATTTAAATCAAACGTCGAGAATGTGAATAAAAAATCTAAATCTTAAAAAAACACAGAAATCACAATCCAACTCTTTTTTCTCCAAACAAGAGTTAATAAATAGATTCAGTCCAGTTCTTCATCCAAAACCTTCAGTATCACAGAGGGTCTCGACCTGCTCTGTATGAAGGTAACTGAACTGAATTCTAAAGTATAGAGGGTTCAGTTCAGAGGCACAGATGTATTTAGTCTATTCACTGCAGTGATGTTATAAAACGTTGCTTAGCCTAACGCCGCTCTCTCCTGACGAGTCCAAGCATCAGTGGCAGCAGCAGAGTTTCTTTCTCTAACATTTCTGATCTTCTGCTTCGTTATGAACCATCCAGACCTCTCAGGTCGTCTGGGATCAGGTCTGCTTTCTGTCCCCAGAGTCAAAACTAAACTAAAGGAGAAGCAGCGTTCAGTTATTATGCTCCGTATATTTGGAACAAACTCCCAGATAACTGCAGGTCTGCTGAAACTGTCAGTTCTTTTAAATTAAGACTGAAGACTTTTCTTTTTACCATTGCTTTTAATTAAATATTTTACACTGCACTGTAACTTTTATTATTTTTTAATGTGTATTTTTTATATTTCCCTGTTGCTTTTATGTTTTATGTAAAGCACTTTGAATAATTTTGTTGTTGAAATGTGCTATACAAATAAACTTGCCATGCCTAAGTTTCACGTTGCTGCTTCAGCAGATTCTTCAGTAAATCAGAAGTAGAAATGTTTGTAGTTGAAAGCTTTTTGCTGCTCGCTCAGAGTTTACAACAGACAACTATGTTCTTTGCATCTTAGGCTGTGAGACAGCAGCAACTTCCAGCTGTGGACAGAACGCCTCTCTCTCTCGTTCTCCTCTCTTCATTTAGCTTCTTGACTAACATGAACAACTATAGATGTCCTCAAATCCTCTTCATTTCACTCGGGCAGCTCCTGTGTTTTTTGACTAAGTGGGCCTAGGGGAATATTCTGAAAACAATTTGCACCAAGAAATGTTAATTAACAAATGAAAAAGCTTTGAGGAAGGTCTGTGTAGCACAATAAGAAAACAAAATAGTAACTGAAGCTAAAACAAACCAAGCTGCTGATTACTGCTTTATTTTCTCACAGGCCTCCTGAGTTTAGTGCTTCCCTTTTTATAAATGAAGACATTTCCACCATAAAGAAAAGAAAATGTACTTGTTTAAATGAATGTTTGATGCTAAAGTGAGGCCCCTGGGTGGAGTGTGTGCCGTAGTGACAACGAGGATGAGAGTTAAATGAAGGTCAGTGATAAAAACACAACTCTCTCACAGTGAGCCTGTCTCCTGTGATCTCTCCCTTCATGCAGCGCTGCAGCAGCTGTTTCTGTAGCTCAGTTTCCTAACGCCGTCTGAACTTGACTTGAGTCGTGTCCTCCGTGGCCACCGCTGATCACCACGGAGTCAGTGATGAGTGTGAAGGAGTCCACTGGTCCACAGCAGCCCTCAGCTGGTACACATGTTGTGGGGGGGCATGGTGTTGGTGCGGAGAGGGGCCGCCTGGGCAGAAATACCAGGGCCGACGTTCTGTCCCAGTCCGGCTCTGACGGCTGCCAGGTCCATCATAGAAACAGAGAGAGGACGAAGTCCTTCAGTCCAGCGTGGGCTGGTTTCATTTTATATAACATATAATACACGGAGACCATAAGAGACAGAGAAAGTTTTATTCGTTTAATAGTAAGTTTTATTCTGAACATACAGCTGGAAGCCCAACTCTAACCCAGGAGGATCAGCCAGTGCTGCAGAAAGAGTTTTCCATTAAAGAGAAGTTACAGAAATGTCTGCACGTTCCAGGACAGAGAATCTGAATCAACCAAGACTGGAGGCTTTAAGCTTTTAAAAAATCTGAAGCGGCTAAAAAAATGAAATATATTGATCATAAAAGCAACGGTTTTATAGGTATTTGTACTCAGAGGTCAAAGGTCAGAAGATCTGCTGAGAAGCATGGAAAATCCTGACAGCTGTAGGAACCTGGATGTGTGCGTGTGTTTATATATATATATATATATATATATATATATATATATATTATTTTTATTTAGCTCCACTTCACAACAGAAGTTATCTCATTGCACTTTTCATGTAGTGCAGGTGTAGCCAGTACTACTTTGTTATATATGTACATATACACACAAACACACATCCATTACCAAGGGACTCCCAGTCTTCATCAGATACAGACATTAACCATCAAAGCAAACTGTCAACAGGTGAAACCACCTGATACATTGATTTATTTTATTATTGTTTCATTTTGGCAATGAAGTCGTCTCCAAAGTCGAGCATTTTTCTCAGAGCGCTCAGGATCAGAGCGTCCACGTCAGGATCCAGGTCGATCTCTTTACAGTAGTTCTTCACAGGAAAGATGCAGTTCACTGGGATTCCCACTGCTGAGCTGAAGTCTGACATCTGAGTGTTAAACAACATTTCAGCTGGTCAGTAAACGTGAAGTTGTGACTTTTTGTGCTCAAACACTGAACATAGAGAATCTCACCTTCTTCTTCAGATACTTGCTCTTGTACACGTTCTTCACATCCTTCTCAGTTTCAGCACAGGCTCTGTCGATGTTGGTGACTATCATCATTTGGGGAATCCCTGCAGACAGAAACTCACTCAGTATTTCATCTTTGTCAGACAGCTTCAGTTCATAATAAACAACAAACACAAACACCTGTTCCAGAAGCCCGACTCAAAGCTAACGTGATCAGGCTGACTGAACTATTCAACAGTCCAACAAGTCTTCCACCCTAAACTACAAATAGTTTGTCCTTGCCTCCAAAAAGACAGACATGACAGGTTCCTGTACCAGTCCAGCCACAGGCTACCAGACCTTAACTCTGTTACATAAGTTACGTGGCGTTAAACACATGGTTAACATTGTGAAACGGTTTTGTTAGGAAACTAAAGCACTTGGTTTAGGAAAACATTGTGGTTTGTTAACTTCAGTTAATTTCAAAGGTTAAAACAGACCTGGACATTAGTGTCATATTCAGACCAGCCCTCTGGATTCTGACTGTATCAGAATGTGACAACTTGTTGATGAAATGACTTGTGTCATGAGATAAAACTGATGTTCTTTAAACACGACCTCTTCTGCCTTCATGTTTTCCTCTGCTCCTTGCCTTATCGTTCCCGTCAGTCTTTGTCTCTCTGGTGTGTAAGGTGGGGGGAGGGGCGTGCTCCAGCTGGTCTCCGGCGGCGCTCCACACCTGAGGCTCATCTCCATAATCAACCTCTGCAATAAAGACCCAGCTCAACTTCCAGTCAGCGCCAGATTGTCTGTTTACCCACCAGTGGTAACTAGCACCAAGGCCAACTCTAGCCTCATATTGAAAGAGTTTGTTAATCTAGTCTGTGACCTCGCTGACTGCCTGTGTTTTCTTCCCTCTCAGATCTTGCCTGTCCAGCTCAGGGTTCTTGGAGCTTGGTTTCCCTCAGCCTGCCCGCTTTCACATTCCAAACCTGTCAATAAACTGTCTTTGTGTGAACTAACCTGCCTTAAGTCTGCTTTTGGATCCTCTCAGCAGCACCTAACATTGAGAACATGTGTGAACATTATACTTCTATATCTCAGGTCTTACCCAGGTCACTGGCTGCCTCTCTGACGGCCTTCATCTTCTCCAGAATTGAGTCTGTAATTTCTGCTGAGTCAGCAGAAAGCACACAAACCAGAAGATGAACTCTGTCATCTGCAGACGGGTCTGGGTTGTAGCCTGGATCCTTCTCTGACAGTGGAGATACAGGATTGAACTGGAAAACAATGTAAAACACAAAGTATGATGAGAGTAACCAGAGTCCTCCAGTACTTAGGAACAGATCAACAAAGCGCAGCGACACAAAGGTGAGATAGTGACTGTTTGACTTCTCCTCCTAGACCATTGCTCTGATTGCCACCAAATATTTGGTGGATCATCATTGGACCAATCTGATTAAAAGCTGTATAAAGCTTGTTGATATCTCATTTAACGTTCAAGATATTGACCAATGACCTTAAAAAAGGGGCGTGAACAAAATCCTTTCATTGACGTACTGCTGACGTACTGCGGTAAGCGTGTCGACTCATTTCCGTTTCCGGTGCTTGTGTGTTGGTACCGTGTTGTGCTGCTCTCGCTAAATAACAGTTACATTTGTTTGATTACAGCGGCCAACTGTTCGCTAAACACTTATTCTTTACAGTAATTTTGCCTAAGCACTCACAGTTCTTTCCATCTTTTAGTGACTGCTGTTCAATCTCATAGTTGTTCTAAAGTTTTGGTAGCTGACGCTACAGTACTTTAGCTTAGCCGTTAGCGACTTTAGCTTAGCAGCTAGCGATGGCTTCACCTTCTCCCTCTCTCTCTCCTACTTCTCCTGCTCGGTGTGTCAGATGTTCAGTTACTCCTCTGCCTCCTTTAGCGGTAATGGTGTAATAAGTGTAGTTTATTTATAGACATGGAGGCGAGGCTCAGTGATTTAGAAGTCCGGCTCCGCACCTTGGTAGATCAGTCTTTAGCTACTGTAGCTAGCCAGTCCCCGGTAGTCGGTGCGGAACGGCCTGAGTTAGCCTCTCGTAGCCGTCCTCCAGCATCCCCTGTGCAGCCAGGAAAGGGGGGGGCTGGGTGACTGTCCGAAGGAGGAATAGTCGTAAGCATTCAAAGTCCACGGGGCATCATCAACCTGTTCACGTTTCTAACAGATTTTCCCCACTCAGCGACACACCCGCTGAGAAACCAACTCTGATCATTGGCAGCTCCATTTTGAGAAACGTGAAGTTAGCGAAGCCAGCGGCCAAAATTCACCAAGACCTGCCCTCAACTGGCACCAACTTATCTCTAAACTCAGGAACCTTAGAAACAGCTGTAGAACCAGATACATGTTTAGACTGTTTTACTTCCCTCAATCTTTACCAACTAACTTCAATAATTTCTTCATCTAAACCATCAACCTGCCTCTTAGACCCCATCCCGACTAGGCTGCTTAAAGATGTTTTACCCTTAGTCAGCACCTCTATACTAGATATGATCAATCTATCTTTATCAACAGGCTATGTACCACAGTACTTTAAAGTAGCTGTAATTAAACCTCTTCTGAAAAAGCCCAAACTTGATCCGGATGTTTTAGCCAACTATAGACCTATATCTAACCTTCCATTTCTCTCTAAGGTTCTGGAGAAAGCAGTTGCTAAACAGCTGTGTGACTTTCTACAGAGCAATAGTTTATTTGAGGATTTTCAGTCAGGATTTAGAGCTCATCATAGCACAGAGACAGCACTGGTGAAAATTACTAACGACCTCCTTATTGCATCAGACAAAGGACTTGTCTCTGTACTGGTTTTATTAGATCTTAGTGCTGCATTTGATACCATTGACCATCAGATCCTATTACAGAGACTGGAACATTTCATTGGCATTAAAGGAACCGCTCTAAGCTGGTTTAAGTCCTATTTATCAGATCGATTTCAGTTTGTACATGTTAACGATGAGTCCTCCATTCACGCCAAAGTTACTCATGGAGTTCCTCAAGGATCTGTCCTCGGACCAATCCTCTTCACTTTATATATGCTTCCTTTAGGCAATATTATCAGGAAACATTCCATAAGCTTTCATTGTTATGCAGATGATACTCAGTTATATCTATCGATCAAACCAGATGAAACTCATCAGTTGGCTAAACTTCAAATGTGCCTTCAGGATGTTAAAACCTGGATGACCTGTAATTTTCTAATGTTAAACTCAAATAAAACTGAAGTTATTGCTCTGGGGCCTAAGCACCTCCGTGACGCATTATCTAAAGATATAGTTTCCCTGGATGGCATCGCCTTGGCCTCCAGCACCACTGTGAGAAATCTTGGAGTTATCTTTGATCAGGACATGTCGTTTAAGTCTCACATTAAGCAAATTTCAAGGACCGCCTTTTTTCACCTACGTAATATTGTGAAAATCAGGAACATCCTGTCTAAAAATGATGCAGAAAAACTAGTCCATGCATTTGTTACTTCTAGGCTGGATTACTGCAATTCCTTATTATCAGGCTGCTCGAAAAAGTCCGTTAAGACTCTTCAGCTGATCCAGAATGCTGCTGCACGTGTTCTGACAGGAACCAGGAAAAGAGATCACATTTCTCCTGTTTTAGCTTCTTTGCATTGGCTTCCAGTAAAATCCAGAATAGAATTTAAAATCATTCTTCTTACCTACAAAGCTCTTAATGGTCAGGCACCATCTTATCTTAAAGAGCTCATAGTACCTTACTACCCCACCAGAGCACTGCGCTCCCAGAATGCAGGGTTACTTGTGGTTCCTAGAGTCTCCAAAAGTAGACTAGGAGCCAGAGCGTTCAGCTATCAAGCTCCTCTCCTGTGGAACCAGGTTCCAGTTTGGGTTCAGGAGGCAGACACCATCTCCACATTTAAGAGTAGGCTTAAGACTTTCCTCTTTGATAAAGCTTATAGTTAGGGCTGGCTCAGGTAGTCCTGAACCATCCCTTAGTTATGCTGCTATAGGCCTAGACTGCCGGGGGATTTCCCATGATGCACTGAGCTCCTCTCTCCTCTACTTTCTCTCCCTCTGTATGCAACCTTATCCCATTATTGCATGTTACTAACACAACTTCTCCCCTTTCTGGTAGTCTTGTGCTTTCTCGTCTCTCTCCTCTCTCCTCCTGTCACTTCCTGCAGGTTTTCTGGCTCTGGAGCTGTGGAGTCTGGATCTGTGGTTGCAGGTCACCTGCTGCCCCCGTGTTCCTGCTCGACACCCTCTGCTGCAACGACTATTGTTACTAGTCCTGTTGTTATTATTGTTATTATAATCATTAACATTACGATTGTTATCATTAACACTACTATAAATATCTGTACCATTTTTCATTTAGTCTATAGCAACATCACCTTACTGTCTGTACCTCTGTGTGTGGATATTGGATATTGTGTAGGCTGCCCCCCCCCCTCTCTCTCTTTCTCTCTCTCTCTCTCTCTCCCTCTCTCTCTCTCTCTCTCTCTCTCTCTCTCTCACCCCAACCGGTGGAGGCAGATGGCCGCCCACCCTGAGTCATGGTTCTGCTCGAGGTTTCTGCCTCTTAAAGGAAGTTTTTCCTTGCCTCTGTCTCCTAGTGCTGCTCTTGGTGGGAACTGTTGGGCTTCTGTAAATAACATCACAGAGTACGGTCTAGACCTGCTCTTTATGAAAAGCTCTCTGAGATAACTGTTGTTGTGATTTGGTGCTATATAAATAAAATTGAATTTAATTGACCGAGCTAAGATCCTGTGGGACTTCAAGATCCAGACTGACAAACTGGTGATGGCTAACCAACCAGACATCGTGTTGATCGACAAACAGCAGAAGAAGGCTGCAGTGATAGATGTGTCAATCCCAAGCGACCGCAACATCAAAAAGAAGGAACACGAGAAGCTTGAGAAATACCAAGGGCTGAAAGAGGAGCTAGAAAAGATGTGGAAAGTAAGAGCAATACTGGTGCCAGTGGTGATCGGAGCACTGGGGGCTGTGACCCCCAAACTGGGAGAGTGGCTACAGCAGATTCCAGGTAAAACATCAGAGGTCTCTGTCCAGAAGAGTGCAGTACTAGGAACAGCTAAGACACTGTGCAGAACCCTCAAACTCCCAGTCCTCTGGTAGAGGACCTGAGCTTGAGGATGACACATACCACCAAGCAAGGGGCTGAGAGGGGGATATTTTTAATCTATGTATACAGAAGATATATGTATATACGACATCTTTATTGTTGTCTATGAAGATTCTCAGTCATCCAGGTCATAGTTCTCCAACGAAGGTTAAAATCAAGGGCAACTGGACTTGGTTGAAGATACTGGAAGACGTTTCGTCCCTCATCCAAAGGACTTCTTCAGTTCTGACTGACTGGCAGGGAAACTCAGCTATTTAACCTCTGTGGGGTCGTTGGCCCGGGTCATCGATACCGCTGGTTTGTTAGTGTTCCTTGTTGCTGTGACGACAGTCGTTACGGTCGTTAAGACTACCTGTGGCCGAGACTGAACGACCATCGTTGGTATCTTCACCTGAGGCCAATAGGTTACGTTTGTTGAGTTTCCTGGGAAGTGATGAAAGGACAGCATTGTAAGTGGGGGATAAGTGGTGGCGTAGACCCCCTCCCCTGTTCAATGACGGCTTCTCCACCCTGGTGTAGATGCTTCCTTGACACCTCTTTCAAACCATCCATCTTCTCTGTCTAAAATGTGCACCTGGTGGTCCTCAAACGAGTGTCCTCTGTCCTTCAGATGTAAGTAGACTGCAGAGTCTTGACCTGAGGAGTTGGCCCTTCTGTGTTGAGCCATGCGTTTGTGTCGTGGTTGTTTAGTCTCCCCAATATACAGGTCTGTGCATTCCTCACTGCATTGGACCGCATACACTAGATTGCTTTTCTTGTGTTTGGGTGTGCGGTCTTTGGGGTGGACCAGCATCTGTCTTAGTGTGTTCTTGGGTTTAAAAACACAGGGATGTTGTGTTTGTTGAAAATCCTCCTGAGTTTCTCTGATACTCCAGACACGTACGGAATCACAATGTTGTTGCGTTTGACCTTCTTTTCCTCCTCCCCTGTAGTTTTGTTCTTCTTGGATCTTGTGGCTTTTTTCACAAAGGTTCATTTAGGGTCTCCACAGACTGTAAGTGCCCCCTTCAGGTGCTTCTGTTCTGAGCCTGCAGATTGGTGTTTACAGAAAACCCACACACACAGACCAATACCTACTGTTCGATTCCCACCACCCACTGGAGCACAAGCTAGGGGTCATGAGAACACTGCACCACAGAGCGGAAAACATACCAACAAGCGCCCAAGCCAGAGAGAAGGACCAGAACAGAACAGTGAGGAATGCACAGACCTGTATATTGGGGAGACTAAACAACCACGACACAAACGCATGGCTCAACACAGTCGGGCCAACTCCTCAGGTCAAGACTCTGCAGTCTACTTACATCTGAAGGACAGAGGACACTCGTTTGAGGACCACCAGGTGCACATTTTAGACAGAGAAGATGGATGGTTTGAAAGAGGTGTCAAGGAAGCATCTACACCAGGGTGGAGAAGCCGTCATTGAACAGGGGAGGGGGTCTACGCCACCACTTACCCCCACTTACAATGCTGTCCTTTCATCACTTCCCAGGAAACTCAACAAACGTAACCTATTGGCCTCAGGTGAAGATACCAACGATGGTCGTTCAGTCTTGGCCTCAGGTGAAGATACCAACGATGGTCGTTCAGTCTTGGCCTCAGGTGAAGATACCAACGATGGTCGTTCAGTCTTGGCCACAGGTAGTCTTAACGACCGTAACGACTGTCGTCACAGCAACAAGGAACACTAACGAACCAGCGGTATCGATGACCCGGGCCAACGACCCCACTGAGGTTAAATAGCTGAGTTTCCCTGCCAGTCAGTCAGAACTGAAGAAGTCCTTTGGATGAGGGACGAAACGTCTTCCAGTATCTTCAACCAAGTCCAGCTGCCCTTGATTTTAACCTTTGTTGGATCTTTATTGTTGTACTTTCTACCACTGATTTACATTTGTTTAATCTTTAAATGAGAGTGTGTTTTTTTAATCAGGTTCAGCAGGGGACGTGGAATTTATTAAATATATAAAGCAATAACAATCTAATAATCTTTATAAGTAAAGATTATTAGATTGTTATTGGGAGAGGGAGATATAAAGTAATGTAGAGCCTATATGTTAATAGATTCTTTGTTAAGTCATTTGCTAATTATTAAGAGGTTTTAATAGCTTTAGGTTTGATGATATTTTAGAGACAGAGTCAAAGAGATCTTGTAATTCAATACAGAACAGATGGAAAGAGGGAGTGTTTTGAAGCGATCGAGCCTTATGGATGTGAAATTTACCAACAAGACATAGAAAAGATGACTAATAGATTCAACTTCTACTTTACAGAAAGTACATAAAGGTTTCATTGGTTCAGTTAGCGCTCCTTTCTCCATGCATTACTCAAAAACAGCCTAAACCACGTCTTTAATGTCCTCCCAGAAAGTTCTGTAAAAATGGCAACCCGTCAGGACCAGGGCTTTTATTGGATGGAGTTTTATGGATAACAGCTTCCAGTTCACTAATAGTTACAACGACTTTCACATACTTCAACATTTCCTGACCTTATCAAAGAAAGAGCAGCAAAAAGTAAGACTGTTGTTAACAACTAGTGAAGAAACCTTTTTAGTTTCGCCACTGAAAAAGTACAATGAGGTTTTTTCTCCATATTCCAGCCATTTTGACCTGACAAATGCCCCTTTTGCTTTTTCAACATAAAGCAGATTCAGCTCTTCTTGTAAAGAGTGTAATTTTATTTTATCCTCATTATTAGGATCTGGAATGTTTAACATATCATTTATTTCTTTTAAAATTCCTTGTCATTTTAGCTTTTGAAACTTAATTGAAAACTTTCTACATTCAAATTTAAACAGTTCCCATTTAGAAACAGAGGAGATGTCATTTCTGGTTTTGAAGTTATTTATAATTTGAACAAAAGGAGGCTTGTTGCAGAAAAGAGGAAAATAAGTTTCCAGTATCCTGGAGTTCTTTGTTGATGGGAGTTTGCAGGAGACAGGGCCAGATCAATTCCAGCATGGTCTGTAAGAGGAGCTGATGGATTTTACTCGGGCATAAAAGAGGTGAGAGATCAATGCGAGAATTCTGAGACAAGTCAGCTTTGAACCACCTAAATGAATCCAGTGACTTTGGACACATAAGTCTGAACTCATACCAATGACAGACTACTGCAAACATCATTAATAACTACTTTTACGTTACTGGATCTTCCTCTAGGGGGAAACTGTCAACATCTAAACCTGGGGCCTCATTGAAGTCACCACCAATGAAAAGCTTGGCAGATAAATCTTTAAGGAGTGTGATATTTAGGTGGTCCTATTAAAACCGTAAATAGCTCGCACCAAGAAATAAATAAATAAAAATACTCTGAGAAAGGTTTATTTGTAGCCTGCTTAAGAAAACCTGCAATGCAGTGTAAATATAGGGTCACCAATCAACCTAGTCTGCCTGTCTTTGGATGGTGGGAGGAAGCCAGAGCACCAGGAGAGAACCCACGCAGACACGGGGAGAACACGCAAACTCCACACAGAAAGGCCGGGGCAACCGGGGTTTGAACCCACGACCTTCTTGCTGTGAGGGACAGTGCTAACCACTGCAACACCCTGTCGCCCCCTATTGAATATTTCTTCTGTAAATATTTTTTTATAAACATCTATTACAATATATTTTTGTTTCATCACGCCCCTAATCTGACCCCCTAAATGGAGCGACGGTGTGTTGGTGAGGGGAGTCCCAGTCCAGCCCTGCTGTCTCCGTGTCGTCCTCTTCTTGAACATCCTTCTCCATTACATCTGTTAGAGAAGTTATTTTGACTCAAACCAACTCTGATTAAATGAGGTTGTTCTGTAATTTGACCCATTAGTCGCCTCTCCTTGAATGTTCCTGCGTGTCAAACTCTTTCAGTCCTCCTTCTTTTGGTCCATGTAAAGCTACAGAGTCTTTCTGTCACAGGCTGACTGGATAAAATCATTTTCAGGTTTGATTCACTTTAACTGAAGTTACGCTTTACTAGTCTGCGCGCGCAGCTTCATGTCTCGCGTGTTTTGTTTGTTGCCGCGGTGGCTGCTGGGATCGCCGCCTGTGTGGACATGTCCGCCATGTTTTCCTCGGTGCAGCCCGGAGACGCGGCCCGTTAAAGCCTCCCGCCCGGTACCGGAGCAGCGCACACCGATGAGCCGTACCGCGGCGGACCCAGTCTCTTCCGGACCTGATTGTCCCCGGTACCGGACCCGGTTTGAGGCGGATCGTCGCTGGTGACGCAAACAATGAGTAAACTCTCGTTCCGGGCGCGCGCGCTGGACGCCTCCAAAGCGCTCCCGGTTTACCGGAACCGGGACCTGCCGGACCTGACGGACTGCGTGTCCATCAACCGGGCCGTCCCGCAGATGCCGACCGGGATGGAGAAGGAGGAGGAGCTGGTAGGGACGCGGTTAATCACGTGTTTGTACATGTTTAAGGCTTTTAAGTCTGGGACAGGTAGCGTTAGCACGCTGCTGCGGCCGGATTCACGACGTGCTTACGTACAGTCTCGTCACGCTCACTCACATGAAGGTACGCACTTTACGTACTCTTTACGTACAGTGTGCGCTGCTAACGTAGCGACAAATTCCGTGTGGGCGCTGTCTGCGGCTGTGACGTCTTCGTTTCTGCGTAGTTGTCTTGGAAACGGAGGAAGCAAAGTCGTCAAGTCAAACTTTATTTCTATAAAATCTTTTAAAAAATAGGTTTAGTGTTAGAACAGAGCTGGATGAAAAACAGACAGAGGTTAGAAGAAGTGTTAGAACAGAGCTGGATGAAAAACAGACAGAGGTTAGAAGAAGTGTTAGAACAGAGCTGGATGAAAAACAGACAGAGGTTAGAAGAAGTGTTAGAACAGAGCTGGATGAAAAACAGACAGAGGTTAGAAGAAGTGTTAGAACAGAGCTGGATGAAAAACAGACGAGAGGTTAGAAGAAGTGTTAGAACAGAGCTGGATGAAAAACAGACGAGAGGTTAGAAGAAGTGTTAGAACAGAGCTGGATGAAAAACAGACAGAGAAGTTAGAAGAAGTGTTAGAACAGAGCTGGATGAAAAACAGACAGAGGTTAGAAGAAGTGTTAGAACAGAGCTGGATGAAAAACAGACTGAGAGGTTAGAAGAAGTGTTAGAACAGAGCTGGATGAAAAACAGACAGAGAGGTTAGAAGAAGTGTTAGAACAGAGCTGGATGAAAAACAGACAGAGAGGTTAGAAGAAGTGTTAGAACAGAGCTGGATGAAAAACAGACTGAGAGGTTAGAAGAAGTGTTAGAACAGAGCTGGATGAAAAACAGACAGAGGTTAGAAGAAGTGTTAGAACAGAGCTGGATGAAAACAGACAGAGAGGTTAGAAGAAGTGTTAGAACAGAGCTGGATGAAAAACAGACAGAGAGGTTAGAAGAAGTGTTAGAACAGAGCTGGATGAAAAACAGACAGAGAGGTTAGAAGAAGTGTTAGAACAGAGCTGGATGAAAAACAGACTGAGAGGTTAGAAGAAGTGTTAGAACAGAGCTGGATGAAAAACAGACTGAGAGGTTAGAAGAAGTGTTAGAACAGAGCTGGATGAAAAACAGACAGAGAGGTTAGAAGAAGTGTTAGAACAGAGCTGGATGAAAACAGACAGAGGTTAGAAGAAGTGTTAGAACAGAGCTGGATGAAAAACAGACAGAGAGGTTAGAAGAAGTGTTAGAACAGAGCTGGATGAAAAACAGACAGAGGTTAGAAGAAGTGTTAGAACAGAGCTGGATGAAAAACAGACTGAGAGGTTAGAAGAAGTGTTAGAACAGAGCTGGATGAAAAACAGACAGAGAGGTTAGAAGAAGTGTTAGAACAGAGCTGGATGAAAAACAGACAGAGGTTAGAAGAAGTGTTAGAACAGAGCTGGATGAAAAACAGACTGAGAGGTTAGAAGAAGTGTTAGAACAGAGCTGGATGAAAAACAGACAGAGAGGTTAGAAGAAGTGTTAGAACAGAGCTGGATGAAAAACAGACTGAGGTTAGAAGAAGTGTTAGAACAGAGCTGGATGAAAAACAGACTGAGAGGTTAGAAGAAGTGTTAGAACAGAGCTGGATGAAAAACAGACTGAGAGGTTAGAAGAAGTGTTAGAACAGAGCTGGATGAAAAACAGACTGAGAGGTTAGAAGAAGTGTTAGAACAGAGCTGGATGAAAAACAGACAGAGGTTAGAAGAAGTGTTAGAACAGAGCTGGATGAAAAACAGACAGAGAGGTTAGAAGAAGTGTTAGAACAGAGCTGGATGAAAAACAGACAGAGGTTAGAAGAAGTGTTAGAACAGAGCTGGATGAAAAACAGACAGAGGTTAGAAGAAGTGTTAGAACAGAGCTGGATGAAAAACAGACTGAGAGGTTAGAAGAAGTGTTAGAACAGAGCTGGATGAAAAACAGACAGAGGTTAGAAGAAGTGTTAGAACAGAGCTGGATGAAAAACAGACAGAGGTTAGAAGAAGTGTTACAACAGAGCTGGATGAAAAACAGACAGAGAAGTTAGAAGAAGTGTTAGAACAGAGCTGGATGAAAAACAGACTGAGAGGTTAGAAGAAGTGTTAGAACAGAGCTGGATGAAAAACAGACGAGAGGTTAGAAGAAGTGTTAGAACAGAGCTGGATGAAAAACAGACTGAGAGGTTAGAAGAAGTGTTAGAACAGAGCTGGATGAAAAACAGACAGAGGTTAGAAGAAGTGTTAGAACAGAGCTGGATGAAAAACAGACAGAGGTTAGAAGAAGTGTTAGAACAGAGCTGGATGAAAAACAGACAGAGGTTAGAAGAAGTGTTAGAACAGAGCTGGATGAAAAACAGACAGAGGTTAGAAGAAGTGTTAGAACAGAGCTGGATGAAAAACAGACTGAGAGGTTAGAAGAAGTGTTAGAACAGAGCTGGATGAAAAACAGACTGAGAGGTTAGAAGAAGTGTTAGAACAGAGCTGGATGAAAAACAGACTGAGAGGTTAGAAGAAGTGTTAGAACAGAGCTGGATGAAAAACAGACTGAGAGGTTAGAAGAAGTGTTAGAACAGAGCTGGATGAAAAACAGACTGAGAGGTTAGAAGAAGTGTTAGAACAGAGCTGGATGAAAAACAGACTGAGAGGTTAGAAGAAGTGTTAGAACAGAGCTGGATGAAAAACAGACAGAGGTTAGCAGAAGTGTTAGAACAGAGCTGGATGAAAAACAGACAGAGGTTAGAAGAAGTGTTAGAACAGAGCTGGATGAAAAACAGACAGAGGTTAGAAGAAGTGTTACAACAGAGCTGGATGAAAAACAGACAGAGGTTAGAAGAAGTGTTACAACAGAGCTGGATGAAAAACAGACAGAGAAGTTAGAAGAAGTGTTAGAACAGAGCTGGATGAAAAACAGACAGAGGTTAGAAGAAGTGTTAGAACAGAGCTGGATGAAAAACAGACTGAGAGGTTAGAAGAAGTGTTAGAACAGAGCTGGATGAAAAACAGACAGAGAGGTTAGAAGAAGTGTTAGAACAGAGCTGGATGAAAAACAGACAGAGAGGTTAGAAGAAGTGTTAGAACAGAGCTGGATGAAAAACAGACTGAGAGGTTAGAAGAAGTGTTAGAACAGAGCTGGATGAAAAACAGACAGAGGTTAGAAGAAGTGTTAGAACAGAGCTGGATGAAAAACAGACTGAGAGGTTAGAAGAAGTGTTAGAACAGAGCTGGATGAAAAACAGACTGAGAGGTTAGAAGAAGTGTTAGAACAGAGCTGGATGAAAAACAGACAGAGGTTAGAAGAAGTGTTAGAACAGAGCTGGATGAAAAACAGACAGAGAGGTTAGAAGAAGTGTTAGAACAGAGCTGGATGAAAAACAGACAGAGAGGTTAGAAGAAGTGTTAGAACAGAGCTGGATGAAAAACAGACAGAGAGGTTAGAAGAAGTGTTAGAACAGAGCTGGATGAAAAACAGACAGAGGTTAGAAGAAGTGTTAGAACAGAGCTGGATGAAAAACAGACAGAGAGGTTAGAAGAAGTGTTAGAACAGAGCTGGATGAAAAACAGACAGAGAGGTTAGAAGAAGTGTTAGAACAGAGCTGGATGAAAAACAGACTGAGGTTAGAAGAAGTGTTAGAACAGAGCTGGATGAAAAACAGACAGAGGTTAGAAGAAGTGTTAGAACAGAGCTGGATGAAAAACAGACTGAGAGGTTAGAAGAAGTGTTAGAACAGAGCTGGATGAAAAACAGACTGAGAGGTTAGAAGAAGTGTTAGAACAGAGCTGGATGAAAAACAGACAGAGGTTAGAAGAAGTGTTAGAACAGAGCTGGATGAAAAACAGACAGAGGTTAGAAGAAGTGTTAGAACAGAGCTGGATGAAAAACAGACAGAGAGGTTAGAAGAAGTGTTAGAACAGAGCTGGATGAAAACAGACTGAGGTTAGAAGAAGTGTTAGAACAGAGCTGGATGAAAAACAGACTGAGAGGTTAGAAGAAGTGTTAGAACAGAGCTGGATGAAAAACAGACAGAGGTTAGAAGAAGTGTTAGAACAGAGCTGGATGAAAAACAGACAGAGGTTAGAAGAAGTGTTAGAACAGAGCTGGATGAAAAACAGACAGAGGTTAGAAGAAGTGTTAGAACAGAGCTGGATGAAAAACAGACTGAGAGGTTAGAAGAAGTGTTAGAACAGAGCTGGATGAAAAACAGACTGAGAGGTTAGAAGAAGTGTTAGAACAGAGCTGGATGAAAAACAGACAGAGAGGTTAGAAGAAGTGTTAGAACAGAGCTGGATGAAAAACAGACTGAGAGGTTAGAAGAAGTGTTAGAACAGAGCTGGATGAAAAACAGACTGAGAGGTTAGAAGAAGTGTTAGAACAGAGCTGGATGAAAAACAGACAGAGGTTAGAAGAAGTGTTAGAACAGCAGGATGAAAAACAGACAGAGAGGTTAGAAGAAGTGTTAGAACAGAGCTGGATGAAAAACAGACAGAGAGGTTAGAAGAAGTGTTAGAACAGAGCTGGATGAAAAACAGACTGAGGTTAGAAGAAGTGTTAGAACAGAGCTGTATGAAAAACAGACGAGAGGTTAGAAGAAGTGTTAGAACAGAGCTGTATGAAAAACAGACGAGAGGTTAGAAGAAGTGTTAGAACAGAGCAGGATGAAAAACAGACGAGAGGTTAGAAGAAGTGTTAGAACAGAGCTGGATGAAAAACAGACAGAGAGGTTAGAAGAAGTGTTAGAACAGCTGGATGAAAAACAGACAGAGGTTAGAAGAAGTGTTAGAACAGAGCTGGATGAAAAACAGACGAGAGGTTAGAAGAAGTGTTAGAACAGAGCTGGATGAAAAACAGACAGAGAGGTTAGAAGAAGTGTTAGAACAGAGCTGGATGAAAAACAGACAGAGGTTAGAAGAAGTGTTAGAACAGAGCAGGATGAAAAACAGACAGAGGTTTGAAGAAGTGTTAGAACAGAGCTGGATGAAAAAGAGACAGAGAGGTTAGAAGAAGTGTTAGAACAGAGCTGGATGAAAAACAGACAGAGGTTAGAAGAAGTGTTAGAACAGAGCTGGATGAAAAACAGACAGAGAGGTTAGAAGAAGTGTTAGAACAGAGCTGGATGAAAAACAGACAGAGAGGTTAGAAGAAGTGTTAGAACAGAGCTGGATGAAAAACAGACAGAGGTTAGAAGAAGTGTTAGAACAGAGCTGGATGAAAAACAGACAGAGAGGTTAGAAGAAGTGTTAGAACAGAGCTGGATGAAAAAGAGACAGAGAGGTTAGAAGAAGTGTTAGAACAGAGCTGGATGAAAAACAGACTGAGAGGTTAGAAGAAGTGTTTTCTCTGCTGCAGTTTTGGACCGGCTGTAACGGGCCACAGTTACAGACGTTAAGGTGGGATGAAGAGTAGAGAGAGTTACAGATGTTAAGGCGGGATGAAGAGTAGAGAGAGTTACAGACGTTAAGGTGGGATGAAGAGTAGAGAGAGTTACAGACGTTAAGGTGGGATGAAGAGTAGAGAGAGTTACAGACGTTAAGGCGGGATGAAGAGTAGAGAGCGTGAGCGACCGTTTCCACCTGACGCAGAGACAACAGCTGACGGGTCAGGTGACTGTCTGATGTGTTTAACAGTCGATTCTGTGTACCATCAGCGGAGCAGTAATTAGCACACAGGATTATCTGCCCTGAGGGGAGCAAAATCAAACTGGCCCTAGAATTGACCACTGAGGCCCCCCACAGGTCAGAGGAGTACCATCAGCTGAAATAAAAAGGTTTACGCACCCCTGATAGCTGCTACGTTAGCTGCTACGTTAGCTGCCATGTTAGCTGCTGCGTTAGCTGTTAAAAAGCTAATACCTACCCAGCAAACAAATATTTGAAGGCTCCAGTCAGGGTAGGAGTCTGGGAGGTTCTGGTCAGGGTACAGGTCTGGCAGGTTACGGTCGGGGTAGGAGTCTAGCAGGTTCTGGTCAGGGTACGGGTCTGACAGGTTACGGTCGGGGTAGGGGTCTGGCAGGTTCTGGTCAGGGTACGGGTCTGACAGGTTACGGTCGGGGTAGGGGTCTGGCAGGTTACGGTCAGGGTAGGAGTCTGACAGGTTCTGGTCGGGGTACGGGTCTGACAGGTTCTGGTTGTGTCTCTGGTTGTGTTTCAGGAGCACCACCTGCAGAGGGCGATCTCGGCCCAGCAGGTGTTCAGGGAAAAGAAGGAGACCATGGTGATCCCCGTCCCTGAAGCCGAGACTAACACCACCTACTACGACCGTCTGTACAAGGGAGAGGTCCGAGTCCCCAAACAGCTGATCCACATACAGCGTGAGTAATCCGGGTCTCGGTTCACTAATGAGGGTCTGGACTAGGGCTGAACGACTTTGGAAAATAATCTAATTGTGATTTTTTTTAACCAATATTGCGATTGAATATGCGATTAATTTATAAGCTCTTTACCGTCTGGACAAGCAGTAAATCGGTGTTTTGTCTGACCAACACAATATTAGATAGATAGAACACACACTGTTCTTTCTTGTGTAATGATGAATTAGGTGGAACTATTATTATGAGCAATGGTGGAGAAGAAATATCTAAAATAAATAAATTATAATAATATGAGATCATTTGAGTCAAGTCGTGGCATTAAATAAAATGATATAATCAGGTCGGCCTACAGACCACAAGAAAAACTAACTCACCACAGTGTGTTATACAACAAGAAGGCAAGGTACAGCGTAGCAACTTCGTCTTGGGTGTCATGTGACCAGAGAGTAATCGCAGCCTCTGCGATTAGGAAATCTCGTTTTATTACATTGCGATAATATCGCAAATGCAATTAATCATTCAGCCCTAGTCTGGACCAGAATCAGCAGTCTGTTCAGCATGTTCTCTTCCTGGTCCTGTAGCTATGGGTCTGGACCTGGAGCAGCCAGACTATGACATGGACTCAGAGGACGAGACGCTGCTCAACAGACTGAACAGGAAGATGGAGATCAAACCACTGCAGTTTGAGACCATGGTGGACCGACTGGAGAAGGCCAGCACGAACCAGGTAGACCAGGTAACACTGAGCACAGGTAGATCAGGTAACACTGACCACAGGTAGACCAGGTAACACTGAACACGGGTAGACCAGGTAACACTGACCACGGGTAGACCAGGTAACACTGACCACAGGTAGACCAGGTAACACTGAGAACAGGTAGACCAGGTAACACTGAGAACGGGTAGATCAGGTAACACTGAGCACGGGTAGATCAGGTAACACTGAGCACGGGTAGATCAGGTTACACTGAGCACGGGTAGACCAGGTAACACTGAACACGGGTAGACCAGGTAACACTGAGAACAGGTAGATCAGGTAACACTGAGAACAGGTAGATCAGGTAACACTGAACACAGGTAGACCAGGTAACACTGAGAACTGGTAGATCAGGTAACACTGAACACGGGTAGATCAGGTAACACTGAGAACAGGTAGATCAGGTAACACTGAGAACAGGTAGACCAGGTAACACTGAACACGGGTAGACCAGGTAACACTGAACACGGGTAGACCAGGTAACACTGAGCACAGGTAGACCAGGTAACACTGAACACGGGTAGACCAGGTAACACTGAGAACAGGTAGATCAGGTAACACTGAGAACTGGTAGACCAGGTAACACTGAGAACAGGTAGATCAGGTAACACTGAGAACAGGTAGATCAGGTAACACTGAACACGGGTAGACCAGGTAACACTGAACACGGGTAGACCAGGTAACACTGAGAACAGGTAGACCAGGTAACAAGGAGCACACATCAGGTAGACCATGTAGTCTCTGTCATCAGCTGGTCTCTGTGTCTCTGTCCTCCGTTTGTCTCTGTCTTTCTGTCCTCAGCCGTCTCCTGGTCTCTGCTCTCTGTCCTCGGCTGGTCTCTGTCCTCGGCCGGTCTCTGTCTCTCTGTCCTCAGCAGGTCTCTGTCTCTCTGTCCTCAGCCGGTCTCTGTCTCTCTGTCCTCTGCTGGTCTCTGCCTCTGTCCTCAGCTGGTGTCTGTGTCTCTGTCCTCGGCCGGTCTCTGTCCTCTGCTGGTCTCTGTCTCTGTCCTCAGCTGGTGTCTCTTTCTCTCTGTCCTCTGCTGGTCTTTGTCCTCAGCTGGTGTCTCTGTCTCTGTCCTCAGCTGGTGTCTCTGTCTCTCTGTCCTCTGCTGGTCTCTGTCCTCGGCCGGTCTCTGACTCTGTCCTCTGCTGGTGTCTCTGTCTCTGTCCTCGGCCGGTCTCTGTCTCTCTGTCCTCTGCTGGTGTCTCTGTCTCTCTGTCCTCAGCTGGTCTCTGTCCTCGGCCGGTCTCTGTCTCTCTGTCCTCTGCTGGTCTCTGTCTCTGTCCTCAGCTGGTGTCTCTGTCTCTGTCCTCAGCTGGTCTCTGTCCTCGGCCGGTCTCTGTCTCTCTGTCCTCTGCTGGTCTCTGTCCTCAGCTGGTGTCTCTTTCTCTCTGTCCTCTGCTGGTCTTTGTCCTCAGCTGGTGTCTCTGTCTCTCTGTCCTCTGCTGGTCTCTGCCTCTGTCCTCAGCTGGTGTCTCTGTCTCTGTCCTCAGCTGGTCTCTGTCCTCGGCCGGTCTCTGTCTCTCTGTCCTCTGCTGGTCTCTGTCCTCAGCTGGTGTCTCTTTCTCTCTGTCCTCTGCTGGTCTTTGTCCTCAGCTGGTGTCTCTGTCTCTGTCCTCAGCTGGTGTCTCTGTCTCTGTCCTTAGCTGGTGTCTCTTTCTCTCTGTCCTCTGCTGGTCTTTGTCCTCAGCTGGTGTCTCTGTCTCTCTGTCCTCTGCCAGTCTCTTTCTCTCTGTCCTCTGCTGGTCTCTGCCTCTGTCCTCAGCTGGTGTCTCTGTCGTCGGCTGGTCTCTGTCCTCGGCCGGTCTCTGTGTCTCTGTCCTCTGCTGGTCTCTGTCTCTGTCCTCAGCTGGTGTCTCTGTCCTCAACTGGTGTCTCTTTCTCTCTGTCCTCTGCTGGTCTTTGTCCTCAGCTGGTGTCTCTGTCCTCAGCTGGTCTCTGTCTCTGTCCTTAGCTGGTGTCTTTCTCTCTGTCCTCTGATGGTCTTTGTCCTCAGCTGGTGTCTCTGTCTCTCTGTCCTCAGCCGGTCTCTGTCCTCAGCTGGTGTCTCTGTCTCTGTCGTCAGCTGGTGTCTCTGTCTCTGTCGTCAGCTGGTCTCTGTCCTCGGCCGGTCTCTGTCTCTCTGTCCTCAGCTGGTCTCTGTCCTCGGCCGGTCTCTGTCTCTCTGTCCTCGGCCGGTCTCTGTCTCTCTGTCCTCTGCTGGTCTCTGTCTCTCTGTCCTCAGCTGGTGTCTCTTTCTCTCTGTCCTCTGCTGGTCTTTGTCCTCAGCTGGTGTCTCTGTCTCTGTCCTCAGCTGGTGTCTCTGTCTCTGTCCTCTGCTGGTCTTTGTCCTCAGCTGGTGTCTCTGTCTCTCTGTCCTCAGCCGGTCTCTGTCTCTCTGTCCTCTGCTGGTCTCTGCCTCTGTCCTCAGCTGGTGTCTCTGTCTCTGTGGTCAGCTGGTCTCTGTCCTCGGCCGGTCTCTGTCTCTCTGTCCTCTGCTGGTCTCTGTCTCTGTCCTCAGCTGGTGTCTCTGTCCTCAACTGGTGTCTCTGTCTCTGTCCTCAGCTGGTGTCTCTTTCTCTCTGTCCTCTGCTGGTCTTTGTCCTCAGCTGGTGTCTCTGTCCTCAGCTGGTCTCTGTCCTCGGCCGGTCTCTTTCTCGCTGTCCTCTGCTGGTCTCTGTCTCTCTGTCCTCAGCTGGTCTCTGTCCTCAGCTGGTGTCTCTTTCTCTCTGTCCTCTGCTGGTCTTTGTCCTCAGCTGGTGTCTCTGTCCTCAGCTGGTCTCTGTCCTCTGCTGGTCTCTGTCTCTGTCCTCAGCTGGTGTCTCTTTCTCTCTGTCCTCTGCTGGTCTTTGTCCTCAACTGGTGTCTCTGTCTCTGTCCTCAGCTGGTGTCTCTGTCGTCGGCTGGTCTCTGTCCTCGGCCGGTCTCTGTCTCTCTGTCCTCTGCTGGTCTCTGTCTCTGTCCTCAGCTGGTGTCTCTGTCTCTGTCCTCAGCTGGTGTCTCTTTCTCTCTGTCCTCTGCTGGTCTTTGTCCTCAGCTGGTGTCTCTGTCTCTGTCCTCAGCTGGTGTCTCTGTCTCTGTCCTCAGCTGGTGTCTCTGTCGTCGGCTGGTCTCTGTCCTCGGCCGGTCTCTGTCTCTCTGTCCTCTGCTGGTCTCTGTCTCTGTCCTCAGCTGGTGTCTCTGTCTCTGTCCTCAGCTGGTGTCTCTTTCTCTCTGTCCTCTGCTGGTCTTTGTCCTCAGCTGGTGTCTCTGTCTCTGTCCTCAGCTGGTGTCTCCTTCTCTGTCCTTAGCTGGTGTCTCTTTCTCTCTGTCCTCTGCTGGTCTTTGTCCTCAGCTGGTGTCTCTGTCTCTCTGTCCTCAGCCGGTCTCTGTCTCTCTGTCCTCTGCTGGTCTCTGCCTCTGTCCTCAGCTGGTGTCTCTGTCTCTGTGGTCAGCTGGTCTCTGTCCTCGGCCGGTCTCTGTCTCTCTGTCCTCTGCTGGTCTCTGTCTCTGTCCTCAGCTGGTGTCTCTGTCCTCAACTGGTGTCTCTGTCTCTGTCCTCAGCTGGTGTCTCTTTCTCTCTGTCCTCTGCTGGTCTTTGTCCTCAGCTGGTGTCTCTGTCTCTGTCCTCAGCTGGTCTCTGTCCTCGGCCGGTCTCTTTCTCGCTGTCCTCTGCTGGTCTCTGTCTCTCTGTCCTCAGCTGGTCTCTGTCCTCAGCTGGTGTCTCTTTCTCTCTGTCCTCTGCTGGTCTTTGTCCTCAGCTGGTGTCTCTGTCCTCAGCTGGTCTCTGTCCTCTGCTGGTCTCTGTCTCTGTCCTCAGCTGGTGTCTCTTTCTCTCTGTCCTCTGCTGGTCTTTGTCCTCAACTGGTGTCTCTGTCTCTGTCCTCAGCTGGTGTCTCTGTCGTCGGCTGGTCTCTGTCCTCGGCCGGTCTCTGTCTCTCTGTCCTCTGCTGGTCTCTGTCTCTGTCCTCAGCTGGTGTCTCTGTCTCTGTCCTCAGCTGGTGTCTCTTTCTCTCTGTCCTCTGCTGGTCTTTGTCCTCAGCTGGTGTCTCTGTCTCTGTCCTCAGCTGGTGTCTCCTTCTCTGTCCTTAGCTGGTGTCTCTTTCTCTCTGTCCTCTGCTGGTCTTTGTCCTCAGCTGGTGTCTCTGTCTCTCTGTCCTCAGCCGGTCTCTGTCTCTCTGTCCTCTGCTGGTCTCTGTCCTCAGCTGGTGTCTCTGTCTCTGTCGTCAGCTGGTCTCTGTCCTCAGCTGGTGTCTCTGTCTCTGTCGTCAGCTGGTCTCTGTCCTCGGCCGGTCTCTGTCTCTCTGTCCTCTGCTGGTCTCTGTCTCTGTCCTCAGCTGGTGTCTCTGTCCTCAACTGGTGTCTCTGTCTCTGTCCTCAGCTGGTGTCTCTTTCTCTCTGTCCTCTGCTGGTCTTTGTCCTCAGCTGGTGTCTCTGTCTCTGTCCTCAGCTGGTGTCTCGTTCTCTCTGTCCTCTGCTGGTCTTTGTCCTCAGCTGGTGTCTCTGTCCTCAGCTGGTCTCTGTCCTCTGCTGGTCTCTGTCTCTCTGTCCTCTGCTGGTCTCTGTCCTCAGCTGGTGTCTCTGTCTCTGTCCTCAGCTGGTGTCTCTTTCTCTCTGTCCTCTGCTGGTCTTTGTCCTCAGCTGGTGTCTCTGTCTCTGTCCTCAGCTGGTGTCCCTGTCGGAGGCGAAGCTGCTGCTGAACGAGGACGACTACCTGCTGAAGGCGGTCTACGATTACTGGGTGAGGAAGAGGAAGAACTGCGGGGGGCCGTCTCTGATCCCTCACATCAAACAGGAGAAGAGAGACGGATCCACCAACAGCGACGCCTACGTGGCCTTCAGGCGGAGGACGGAGAAGATGCAGACCAGGAAGGTCAGTCTGTCCCCCTGAGGTCCTGGTTCAGAGACAAATGTGTGTCTATAAGATGATGGAACACCAGCAGCTCTTCAGATGTTCGGCTGGCACTAATCATTTATCAATACTTCCTGATTTACAGTTAGTTACTGATTTATTTATCAACAGGGACGGATTTTTAGAGCCCGACCGATTCGGGTTTTTGGGGCCGATGCCGATATCAAAGTGAAAAAGAGCCGATGTTTAGATTTAGAGAATGATTTGGACAGTAGACCCTTTACTATAAACTACACTTAGAACAGGCCGATACTGAAAGCTGGTGTGGACAATAAAACCTGTTCCTGAATGGATTATGTCAATAAAATAGATACAGTCTCAAAAAAGTGAACATAATTACACATCAATAAATATTTGCTGCTGAAAGGTGCGACTTTTTCACTTTACACATAATCTGCCATAATTCCACTGTAGCACATTCAAATCCAGCTCATCTCTTCACCAGCACTCTTCTGACCAAAGCCACGAGAAACCATTTAACCTCCATCGGTACAGTGAGCTGCTGCTGAATGACCGTCTACAGCGAGGACCTGCGGCTTTCTTTACTTTAACGTTGTAACTCCAACCAGAGCCGTTACGGATCTACAACAGCCAAAGAGCCTGCGCTACAGGAAGCCGTGTTAGATTCTTGTTCAGCTCCCGTTTATTTACATGTCCGCTCTGGTTTAATCATTTCAGACACGCCAACACCCAACTACCGTGACATTAACCTGCTGTGAGCTGCTAGGAAGCCGGGGAGGGCAGAGAACAACGGGAGGGTTAGACAAAAGACCGACTCACTGCTCACACAGCCCTCTGCCTGTTTCTACTGCTGCAGTGAGCTCCGGCCAGCTGATTGTTTTCTTCTGTGGCTTTTGTGGTTCAACAGTGTTGTTAACAGGGGAGCTGCAGCTGGTCGCCCTCTGGTGGGCAAACTATGCAACACCCATGACACGAGTGAAGGATCTCACTCTGTTTCTTTTTAATATCTGCCGTTATAAACGGCCGATGCCGATTAAATGCAATTAGCTCATATCGGCCGATATATCATTTATCAACTGGGACGTTTTTTTTCAACACTTAGTGATTAATCCATAGTGACTCATTAATCAGCAGTGACCAATTAATCAATAGGGACTCATTAATCAATAGGGACTCATTAATCAATAGGACGGATTAATCAATAGGGACGGATTAATCAATAGGGACTCATTAATCAATAGGAGGGATTAATCAATAGGGACTCATTAATCAATAGGGACTCATTAATCAATAGGGACGGATTAATCAATAGGGACGGATTAATCAATAGGGACGGATTAATCAATAGGGACTCATTAATCAATAGGGACTCATTAATCAATAGGGACGGATTAATCAGCCGTTTAAACAGTGAATTTAATGATTTAAGGGTCTGATGAGATGCACATGTGGTTTTACGTCAGATTCACACTCAGGTTTGCTGAATCAGACTCCACATTATGTTTTTACTTCTCACAGCTCAGACGTTCAGTTTAATAAAAAGACAGACCGGAGGTCTGAACCAGGGTTGAAAGTCGGAGAGTCCGGACCAGCCGGGTGACGTGTTTGTGTGTTTCAGAACCGTAAGAACGACGAGGCGTCGTACGAGAAGATGCTGAGGCTGAGGAGAGAGTTCAGCCGGACCGTCACCATCCTGGAGATGATCAAGAGGAGAGAGAAGTCCAAGAGAGAGCTGCTGCACCTGACGCTGGAGGTGGTGGAGAGGAGGTGAGGAGGGGGAGGAGCTCAGAGAGAGAGGAGGTGAGGAGGGGGAGGAGCTCAGAGAGAGAGGAGGTGAGGAGGGGGAGGAGCTCAGAGAGAGAGGAGGTGGGGAAGTGGGATCAGTATCTCTGTATGTTACCTGAGGAGGTGAGGAGGGGGAGGAGCACAGAGAGAGGAGGTGGGAGGAGAGGAGGTGGGGAGGGGGAGGAGCTCAGAGGGGGAGGAGCTCAGAGAGAGAGGAGGTGAGGAGGGGGAGGAGCTCAGAGAGAGGAGGTGGGGAGGGGGAGGAGCTCAGAGAGAGGAGGTGGGGAGGGGGAGGAGCTCAGAGAGAGCAGGTGGGGAGGGGGAGGAGCTCAGAGAGAGGAGGTGAGGAGGAGAGGAGGTGGGGAGGGGAGGAGCTCAGAGAGAGGAGGTGAGGAGGGGGAGGAGCTCAGAGAGAGGAGGTGGGGGAGGGGAGGAGCTCAGAGAGAGGGTGGGGAGGGGGAGGAGCTCAGAGAGAGGAGGGGAGGAGGGGGAGGAGCTCAGAGAGAGGAGGTGGGGAGGGGGAGGAGCTCAGAGAGAGCAGGTGGGGAGGGGGAGGAGCTCAGAGAGAGGAGGTGAGGAGGGGGAGGAGCTCAGAGAGCAGGTGGGAGGGGGAGGAGCTCAGAGAGAGCAGGTGGGGAGGGGGAGGAGCTCAGAGAGAGGAGGTGAGGAGGGGGAGGAGCTCAGAGAGAGGGGTGGGGAGGAGAGGAGGTGGAGGAGGGGGAGGAGCTCAGAGAGAGGAGGTGGGGGAGGAGAGGAGGTGAGGAGCTCAAAGAGAGGAGGTGGGGAGGAGAGGAGGTGAGGAGGGGAGGAGCTCAGAGAGGAGGTGAGGAAGTGGGATCAGTATCTCTGTATGTTACCTGAGGAGGTGAGGAGGGGGAGTTGCTCAGAGAGAGAGGAGGGGGAGGAGCTCAGAGAGAGAGAGGGGGAGTTGCTCAGAGAGAGAGGAGGTGAGGAGGGGGAGGAGCTCAGAGAGAAGGGAGGTGAGGAGGGGGAGTTGCTCAGAGAGAGAGGAGGTGGGGAGGGGGAGGGCACAGAGAGAGGAGGTGAGGAAGTGGGATCAGTATCTCTGTATGTTACCTGAGGAGGTGAGGAGGGGGAGTTGCTCAGAGAGAGAGGAGGGGGAGGAGCTCAGAGAGAGAGGAGGTGAGGAGGGGAGGAGCTCAGAGAGAGGAGGTGGGGAGGGGGAGGAGCTCAGAGAGAGGAGGTGGGGAAGTGGGATCAGTATCTCTGTATGTTACCTGAGGAGGGGGAGGAGCTCAGAGAGAGAGGAGGTGAGGAGGGGGAGGAGCTCAGAGAGAGGAGGGGGGAAGTGGGATCAGTATCTCTGTATGTACCTGAGGAGGTGAGGAGGGGGAGTTGCTCAGAGAGAGAGGAGGGGGAGGAGCTCAGAGAGAGAGGAGGGGGAGGAGCTCAGAGAGAGAGGAGGTGAGGAGGGGGAGGAGCTCAGAGAGAGGAGGTGAGGAAGGGGATCAGTATCTCTGTATGTTACCTGAGGAGGTGAGGAGGGGGAGGAGCTCAGAGAGAGAGGAGGTGAGGAGGGGGAGGAGCTCAGAGAGGGAGGTGGGGGGAAGTGGGATCAGTATCTCTGTATGTTACCTGAGGAGGTGAGGAGGGGGAGTTGCTCAGAGAGAGAGAGGGGGAGGAGCTCAGAGGAAGGGAGGTGAGGAGGGGGAGTTGCTCAGAGAGAGAGGAGGTGGGGAGGGGGAGGAGCACAGAGAGAGGAGGTGAGGAAGTGGAATCAGTATCTCTGTATGTTACCTGAGGAGGTGAGGAGGGGGAGGAGCACAGAGAGAGGAGGTGAGGAAGTGGGATCAGTATCTGTATGTAGTACCTGAGGAGGTGAGGAGGGGGAGGAGCACAGAGAGAGGAGGTGAGGAAGTGGGATCAGTCTCTGTATGTTACTGAGGAGGTGAGGAGGGGGAGGAGCACAGAGAGAGGAGGTGGGGAGGGGGAGGAGCACAGACAGAGGGGTGGGGAGGGGGAGGAGCACAGAGAGAGGAGGGTGGGGAGGGGGAGGAGCTCAGAGAGAGAGGAGGTGAGGAGGGGGAGGAGCTCAGAGAGAGGAGGTGGGGAAGTGGGATCAGTATCTCTGTATGTTACCTGAGGAGGTGAGGGGGGGAGTTGCTCAGAGAGAGAGGAGGGGGAGGAGCTCAGAGAGAGGAGGTGAGGAGGGGGAGGAGCTCAGAGAGAGGAGGTGAGGAGGGGGAGTTGCTCAGAGAGAGAGGAGGGGGAGTTGCTCAGAGAGAGAGGAGGTGGGGAGGGGGAGGAGCACAGAGAGAGGAGGTGAGGAAGTGGAATCAGTATCTCTGTATGTTACCTGAGGAGGTGAGGAGGGGGAGGAGCTCAGAGAGAGAGGAGGTGAGGAGGGGGAGGAGCTCAGAGAGAGGGGAGGTGAGGAGGGGGAGTTGCTCAGAGAGAGAGGAGGTGGGGAGGGGGGGGAGGTCAGAGAGAGAGGAGGTGGGGGAGGGGGAGGAGCTCAGAGAGAGAGCAGGTGGGGAGGGGGAGGAGCTCAGAGAGAGCAGGTGGGGAGGGGGAGGAGCTCAGAGAGAGGAGGTGGGGAGGAGAGGAGGTGGGGAGGGGGAGGAGCTCAGAGAGAGGAGGTGAGGAGGGGGAAGAGCTCAGAGAGGGAGGGAGGAGGGGGAGGAGCTCAGAGGAGAGGAGGTGAGGAGGGGGAAGAGCTCAGAGAGAGGAGGTGAGGAGGGGGAGGAGCTCAGAGAGAGGAGGTGGGGAGGAGAGGAGGTGGGGAGGGGGAGGAGCTCAGAGAGAGAGGAGGGTGGGGAGGGGGAGGAGCTCAGAGAGAGAGGAGGGGGAGGAGCTCAGAGAGAGAGGAGGTGAGGAGGGGGAGGAGCTCAGAGAGAGGAGGTGGGGAGGGGGAGGAGCTCAGGGGGGGAGGAGCTCAGAGAGAGAGGAGGTGGGGAGGGGGAAGAGCTCAGGGTGAGGAGGGGGAGGAGCTCAGAGAGAGAGGAGGTGGGGAGGGGGAGGAGCTCAGAGAGAGAGGAGCTCAGAGAGAGAGGAGGTGGGGAGGGGGAGGAGCTCAGAGAGAGAGGAGGTGGGGGGGGGAAGAGCGCAGAGAGAGGAGGGGGGAGGGGGAGGAGGTGGGGAGGGGGAGGAGGTGAGGAGGGGGAGGAGC